CCCCAAAACCCCAAAACCCCAAAACCCCAAAACCCCATAAGAATGATCTGAGTGTAATATAGAAAGTTTTCATTAAAAAGATAATAAACCGATCTATTGCGTTTTAAAATTCAAGAATTGAAATCAAATAATACTTTATAATTTATAGCATTAAGGTTCAAGTATAAACATGCAAAAGAACGACGATAATCGATTTAACTTCAAAACAGTTCACAATTATCAACAAGACGATCTTATACCTATCTATGAAGTAGAAGTGATGGCATTTTAAGACAAAGAGACTTTAGATAACTCCAATTCTTTCAATGCCAAACTTTAAGTTAACATCAAAAGCAGCACAATAATATTAAAAAGAGCTGATGATCAACAGGTAATTTTGGTAAACTTATAAGTACTCATGCTAAGCTACTATGACTAAGAGCAATTCAGTATTCATCTAACTACTTAACAAAAGCCGGACACCCTCCAGTACAAATTTCAGTGCCGAGATATTGAGCAAACATATTAGTTACTTGAGGAGTTGCAGTATTCATGTACTCAAATTTACCCTCAGTTTTCTTCAAGTTTTAAAATTGGTAAACTCATCAGCTAGGGTTCCTAGGCATCTATCTTTGAGTGTAAGAAAAAAGGCGACTCTGAGGAGTAGAATTACATTGTAAAACGTTATGTCGTGAACAGTGACGAAACTAGAAATTAGATCAGATAAGAAGTTTAAATTCTTCGAAGACTCAGACCTTGCTAAAATATTTCTTAAATCAGTGTAGTATTCGAGGAATAATCAGAATATAGCATCGTGATGAATCATGCTCAGGATGGAGATTTATTTTAATTAGTCTAAGAAGGTTAAAGGTTTAGTGAGGCAGAAATAAGGATTTTGATGTTGTAGTTGTTACTCACCCTCGATTTCACACACAAGTCTGATATTATACACCGTGATCTTAAGCCAGAGAATATTTTACTCTTAAATAGCAAAAATCTAGAGATATAAATTGCGGACTTCGGAGTTTCTTGTTTTGATGATGACTTAAAATAAAAGCTATAGAAATTTGGCACACCCGGGTTCATAGCTCCAGAGATTATATAAGGCCTCGGATTTAGTTACTAAACGGACATATTCAGCCTCGGATGCTTGTTTTTCATGCTAATTTACGGAAAAAGCTTGTATTAGGGCATCAATTTATTGTAAATACTAGAGAAAAACAAAACACAAGATCCGATCGAGATTGTTAACGAGCAGGAAAAGATAGTTTCAGACGATTGCCTTGACTTACTGAGAAAAATGCTTTAATAGTCCCCATTTGAAAGGCCTCTTCCGGAATAGTGTCTTATTGTAATTTATTCATCTTAACTTAAATAACTTATAGCACGAATGGTTTTCAAATGAAAAATAGGCCATCGCCAGTTCTATGATCAATAATGTCAAGCATGCTAAATAAGCATATTAGGAAGTGGTTAGGTCTGAAGATTTCCCTCTTCAAAAAGATAAGTTAAAACATCTCAACTTTTTCCATATCATCAAATAAGAGTAACTCAAAAAGCATATGAAAGAAAGAGCCACTACTTTGAATGAGTAGTAAAGCCTATTTAAGACTTTGAATGATTAGAATATATCATAAAATATGACTCCTAAACAAAGCCTAATCGGATCTGCCAACTTAATCAATAAATACTCGAGCCTGAGGAAATAGATAGACATATTAAACTTAAAGTCTGAAAATTTTGATAAGATTTTTAATGTAGACTAAACTTAATTCGAGGAGAATTTAAATAATTCTGAGGAATAAAAACAGTAAGATCCCTAATCATAAATTTTGAGTAGATAAAACATTAGTGACTTTAGATAGGATGACAAAACAATGGCAACTATTAATAAAGTCGTCAAATATAGACAATTTATAGACTGAAGTATCAGCAGTCTAGGTTATAAATAGTAATATATATTCTTTTGTTCATTTTGAAAATATTAGTATTTTTATTTAATTTGCAATATAATTATTAGCCTTAAAGAATCTAACTCTGAAACTCCATTCTACTCACAAATCCAAGTTTCATGGGGTTTTGGGGTTTTGGGGTTTTGGGG